ATTATAAATGATTATTTTAAGATTTAATTCTAAATTTAGCGGATAAAAATACCCTCAATTAATCCTCATTTGAGTAATATTATTTACGAAGGACCATCTTGGGAATAAATCTCAATTATAGAGGACCACGTAGATAATTAAAACTTATTGAGGACTGATTTGGGAAAATATCTTATTACAAAGGACTATTTTGGAAATAAATCTCAATTATAGAGGACCACGTAGGTAATTAAAACTTATTGAGGACTAATTTGAGAAAACCTCTTATTACAAAGGACTATTTTGGGAATTTACTCTTTTTTTTTTTCAAAAGAAAAAAAGATGCGAATCCAATGGGTGAGAATAGCTGTACCCCTGTCGGTTTCTGCACAATCAGCACAAATATCAAAACCCACTCCGCATTTAATGAACTGCTCTGCCACCACACCACAGAGCCGAAGACCCCAAAATGGCCATTTAATTCCTCCATTCACACTCATCCCACTTCCCTCTTTTTCCTCTTGTACGCACACGTGTACCCGCCCGCCGTATGTATATACTCCGTAGCAAATACGCATCTTTCTACGCCCATTGATGGTAGCAAAATACGTATATAAACTTGTTGGAGAAGGAGAAGAAGACCAGTAGACTAACCTGAAGCAAGCACCCAAAAGTCAAAGGTTCCCTTTTTTTTGTTTCTTGTTTTTTGGGCTCTTGTCAAGTGATTCTCGTGAGCCCAAACTGAAAACAAGTGACACCCATTTTTTCCAAATCAGGCAAGAGTCATAAATTTATCTCTTTTTCTTGTAAAAAATATGTTTTTTTATTATAAATTTATTCATATTCGCATCACTGTTTTGATCTGTCTGGAATCTCTGGATGGATGTTGTGGGCTTATGTTTTTTTATTAATATTTTTTAGTTTTACCCTTTTATTATAAATCTATTGTTTTGAATTAAAGAGTCAATCCTTTTACTAAGACTGTTCTATATATAGAGGTTGAGAGAAGGAAAGGGCACTTTTCTTGCTTGAAAAAGAAGATAAAGATTCAAGCTTTGGTAAATTTCTGAATATGGGTTCTTGTTTCAGCGTGAGAATCAAGGCAGAGAGTCCTCATCATGCTGGTAATTTCTTCAATGTCTTCAATTTAAGACTTTTTTTATAGCTTATTGATCATCAGCTAAATTTCTAGCAGTGGTTGCAAAATTGCAATAGCAAGAGTGTTAATGAGTTTGTGAGTATGATATAGTATGGGTTTTCTGGTTCACTGTCACACTTGCATGCAATGGTTGAATTTGTGGGGTTTTGCTTGATTTATCTGAAGAGGGTTGGAAAAGGCTGTTCCCTTTTCAGGTCTTTTTTTTGGGAAAAAAGGGGTTTTTGTGAATTTTAGGCTAGATTAGAAAAAACTTGTTTGGCTTCTGACATCAATTTCAGCAAAACAATTGTCAAAAAGCCACTTATTTTGCCATTCAACAGAATATGCTGCCTTATGCTAAAGAGAACCTAAGAATGTATAGCAGGTTTGTAAGACTTGGATTTAAGCATGATCCATTTGGTACTAAGAAAATGCCAGTAGCAATCAAAGATTTCCCAGATTTGAAAAAATGAGTAAAAACTGCAGCTAAAAGCAAAATGACCATTATTTACATTGTAATTGTATGCAGTGAAAATTGTAGAATAATACCAACAAAAACCCAGTAAAATCCCACAAAAGTAGGGTCTGAGGAAAGTAAGTGTGTATACGTAGAACTTACCCCTACTCGGCAGTAGAGAAGCTATTTCCAAGAGATCCACGGCTCAAACGCATATGCACAAAGCCACAAACAAAGTAAACAAATAAAACACAGTAGCAACTAGACCCAAAACACAATGTTTACTTTATAAAGTTTGATTGTCCATGAAAATCTATTTTATTTTATTTTATCATGCTCTGTTAGCAGGAGACGGGGGTTTAAGTAGCAGGCTTTCGTCGGCCTCAGTGTCATTGAACACGCCCACGCCCCGGGGAGAAAGCGAGATTTTGGAGTCATCCAATCTCAAAAACTTCAGTTTCAATGAGCTAAGAATAGCCACGCGAAACTTCCGCCCAGACAGTGTGTTGGGTGAAGGTGGGTTTGGGTGCGTCTTTAAGGGATGGATTGATGAGAACACTTTCAAGGCAGCTCGGCCAGGGACGGGCTTGGTCATTGCTGCCAAGAGACTGAATCAAGATGGCTTTCAAGGTCATAAGGAATGGTTGGTGAGTAAGTAGGTACACTTTTATTTGCAATTTGGGATTGATACTTTCCATTTTTTGTTGCATAATTGGGTATTTCAGCATAAATTATGAACATAATTGTCCAAATCAGCATAATCTAGATTGTTATTTTCCATTTTTTGTTGCATAATTTGGCATTTCATCATAATTTAGGATTGGTACTTTCCATTTTTGTTGCATAAACAAAGATATATTATTGTTTCTGCAAGACAAAAACTTGTCTTTGATGCCTTATATTAGTGTGAGGAGCATGATTGAATTTTCATAAATAATATTCTTGCAAGCTGTTAATCGTTTATTCGTCGTGTTTTGCAGGCAGAAATCACTTATCTGGGTCAACTATCGCATCCTAACCTTGTAAAATTGATTGGGTACTGTTTGGAGGATGAACACAGGCTTCTGGTCTACGAATTCATGCCTCGTGGAAGTTTGGAAAATCATCTATTCCGAAGTGAGTTTTGTGCTTGTTAGAGCATTATTAAAACATTCTTGGATCTTTTAACTACAAGCTCGAGTTTTTGGTTGAGTTAGTTCATTGACACTTGTCACTTAATGGTAGGGAGTTCATACTTCCAACCACTATCTTGGAGTATTCGAATGAAGGTCGCCGTCGGTGCAGCCAGGGGACTCGCATACCTTCACAGCCCAGAAGCTAAAGTGATATTCCGTGACTTCAAATCGTCCAACATTTTGATTGACTCGGTACGGGTTTTGACCAGTTTGACTTTTTGCAGTCCACTTTCCCCCTGATGATTTGACTTTTTACGGTCTTGAATTTGGTCAAATGACAGAACTACGACGCAAAGCTTTCTGATTTTGGATTGGCCAAGGATGGGCCCGCCGATGGAAAGAGTCACGTCTCGACTAGAGTGATGGGGACGTATGGGTACGCCGCTCCTGAGTACATGGCCACAGGTAAATATATTGCCATTTACAGCTGGTTTAAATTTTAAAACAAACCTTGATCGCCTGTACTTGAGGAAGTGTGTTAGAATATACTCCCTCCGTCCCAAAAAGATTTACATCTTTCAAAAAAATTGCGTCCCACAATCTCCTACTCATTTCTATTAAAAAACCACTTTTACCCCTACTTTTTCAAACACTACCTATCACATCATACTTTTTTCCTAATAATCTACACATCACATCCTACTTTTACCCATCACATCAAGGGTATTTTTGGAAAGTCAACACAAAGTTATCCCTCCCTTAATTTCAACTTTAGTCAAAATGTGTAAATCTTTTTGGGACGGAGATAGTAAAAAATAATCCTTGACCCTTAGAACCAAAACCTTCCCTTCCAAAACCGTCCATAGAAACATCCCCAAACAGGCCCTTAAGGCGTGTGTGCCACGTGTTTGTTCTAACAACCATTTTGCTCTTAATATTGAAGGTCATCTAACGACGAGAAGCGACGTGTACAGTTTCGGGGTCGTACTTCTCGAGATTCTGACGGGCCGTCGGGCAATGGACAAGAACCGTCCAAACGGGGAGCACAACCTCATAGAGTGGGCCAAGCCGTACCTCGGAAACAAGCGCAAGATCCTTCGGGTTATGGACCCACGCATAGCGGGTCAGTACTCGTTGACCGTGGCACTTCGGGCAGCCCTTCTCGCGGTCAAGTGTCTATCAATTGATCCGAAACACCGGCCGAGAATGGCGGACGTGGTCAAGGAATTGGAGCAACTTCACGACTTGAACGACTCGGGTAATCCAAGAAGAGACGCCGATTTGTATCCGAGGCCGCCCGCGTCTCCACTTCCCCCTTGAACAATTAACTGATCATTATGACTTTTGTGATACTGTCAATAAATGAATGAATATAGACATATCTGTATGACAATATTCATTCATCTTACCTTTTGATGTATTTCAAAAGTCATAATGGTCCGGTCACTGTATAAGGGAAGTAAATAATAAAATAGGTAACAATATTTGGTCGGATCCGACCATGACGGTCCGGGTTGGTTAGGGAGTTGCGAGAAGTTGCTCTGAATCAATCCGAAAAGCCATATCGGGATTTATCGGCGGACTGATTTTTGGCTGGTTAAGAAGTGTACTATGATGTTTTCTTCTTCTTGTTTGTGCATTGATTAAGCTAAAGATAGTATCTTTAGATTGTGTATGAAAGCAACTGTTTGAGGGAGGATAATAAATAATGTAATACCAGGGTTCCATGTGATTTTTGTTGTCCTTCTGTCCATTGTTCAATGAAAATGAAAGTTGATGTATTCATTTTTTAGGAAAAACTTATTTTCTTTTATTTATTCTTATTGAAATCAGATCAGATGAGAAACAATCTTAAATATACTCCCTCCGTCATATAATGATCTTCCCGGTTCGCAAAACGAAGAAAAATCCCAAGTTTTTTCAATCTATTTTATCTAAATATTGGTATAGAAATAAAAAATAAAACATGCATATTTAAAAACTACACCAAAAGTTCAACAAAACAAGTGGTGACAAGAATATTTTATTTTATCATATAGGCCATGAAAAAACACAAATAAATATAAATTCCCGTGAAGTTGGAATAGTGCTTTAGGAAGATCATTATAGGACAGAGGGAGTAATTACAATTAGATTACTGATTACGTTCTGTTTAATTTATTTTTGTAGCTTATTACTTATTATTACTAAAACCAAATCAAATACAACTACAATCACATCAAATTAAACCAAAATTTCAAATCAGATCAAACAAGTGGAACACCGAGCAAGATCAAAACCAATATCAGCTCTAAAGCCATGATCTCCTCAACTAATTATTGTGAAATTTGCACTAAATAAGACTAAAACATAATCACTTTCTTAATGTAAGACTTAAACTTTTTTATTCCCTAAATAGGACTTAATAATGATTTAGAAGAAAACCCCCTAAATAGGAGTAAAACATAAGTCATCTCCTTAAAGTAGGAGCTTAAACTTAAAATTCTCTAAATAGGAGTAATTAATCACATTTTTTGTTTCAATTAATTCTAACCACACAATTTAAAGCCTCATAGCTCCGCCTGTTCTCTTATCCATATATCTTCGTACATACGTAGTACAATTATATTGCATCGCCGATGTTTCCCCTGCCCTCATCGGTGTTGCTCCCTCCATCGTAGAGCCTCATCGCCCATTCCCCTCTCTTTCTCATGCCCTCGCAAAGTGCTGCGTCCACATACCCCATCCGCCCTGAAATCTGATCAACCATAAGCCAAGTTCTTGGCGGAATCGATGGTGTCGTCGGTCAAAATCCTTGGCAAAGCTTGATGTCTCCACTGGAGACAAATTTTACTATGCAAAGCTTGAAGTCGACGGCTAGGTGTCGAGACGATTGGTCATCCGGCTGCCACAAAGGTGATTGTGATATGAGTGATGGTCGCCGGCAATAGTGCCGACCAATGTTCGGGTTTGACATTACCCCTTTGCTTGACATTGTGAATTTGCATATGTGACATTATATATAAGCATCTGTGGTATTATACACTGTGATATGTGACATTATGTGTTGTTATATGTGACAATGTGTGTTGCCATGTTTGACATTGTGCCTTTTTTGTCACTGTATAGACAATTAATGTGGCACTGCGATCGATGCTAACAGTGCAAGGTGTGACGGTGGTGTCGACGGCTTGAGATGACTACTCGATTTTCATGTGGCGGTGGCGGTGGCTCCAGGTCGACAGCCCGTAGTGACTGGTGCAACATGATTCACCATTAATTGGAACATCACTTTGTCGCGGTCAAGCTAGTCATATAGGACCAACTCTCCCCTGTATGTCGCTATGGTAGAGTGTCCCAAAGTTGATACAGAACTATACACACAATCAATATACTCACCATTCACCAGAACCTCAAAGCAGCTTCAAGTTCCTTCTCATCATCACAGTTATAACATAGCAAATAAGCTCGTGCTGAAAAGTTGAAATTAAACACTAAATTATACTGCAATATATAGACATCCACATATGTGTATGCATGTAGGCATATATAATGGAGGTACAAGGTAGCAAATTGAAAATGAAATGACGGACAAACCCCTACGGAATTGACCAGATCCCATGAATGGTTTTGCTTCATCAATCCCAATAGCCTGGTGCAGTTCCTAAATTTTTTTTGGGGGAAAAGGAGATAGAAAGTAAATTGAAATAACTCATGGAGTCAAAAAGGGGATAGTAAAAAAGGTGAACGGAGTGATAGTGTCAAAAAGGGGATAATGTCAAAAACTCCTATTTTGGGGATTTTATGTTTTCACTCCTATTTTGGGTTTTAATCAATGTTTTACTCCTATTTTGCTCCTTAACCCAATGACTTGGTGGAAGGAAAAATGTCCAGTAATGATGGACATTTACTTGAATAATGACTACTCCGTACTTGATTGTAACACCCCAATTCGTATAACCCTGAATTATACGAATTAAAGTGAAACGGGAGAAATATTTTTAAAACTTTTCCAAATCATTAAACAAAATTCATAAAACAAAACTTCAAATATAACATATTAAATTCGGATCGATCCTTTTACAAAATGTCAGAGATAACGGAAGACTTATAAATTAATACATATACAATGATGTAGGTCAAGCCCCAAAACTTCAACCTTTTAAATATTATAATGAACATGTAAGATTTACAAATATATCTAAATATTGAGTTCCTCTAAATTCCAAATGGATTTCTAGATGATTTCTTTTTCAACGAGTTTCATATCATATAGCTTTATAGTGAGAAAACTACGATCATACGATTTCAACGAAGGTTATGCCAAGTAGTAGAGCATATAAAGCAACAAATACACATTCATTCATACATGTACAACACATATATTTGGGCATGGATTTACGTGTTTATGTAATCGTCTAAATGTGGTCTAGGTGTTTTCCAACTTGTTCACTCACTTGTCAAATTTATGCACTTTTACGTATCTAGTGATGCTATAGTGATATTCATTGGTATTTCCTCAAGCCTAAACTTATTCTTCATAATCTAACCGTTCTTCCACTTTTATTCTACAATCCTTATTGTTTACATTGGAGTCAAACATCCATTTAGCCTTGTATAATCATTCAATTACATAACGGTTGGAATGCTCGTTGTTCTCTATGCAACGTTAATAGATCAAAATATATCATGATATGAATCTATATACAAATAATCATATAAACAACAAACGTATTCACATATAAATATATTAAAGATTCCTCCGTTATATCTAGGGTGTACATACCTTGGATACAACTCAACGTTAGAAGGGACCGAATGAATCAACGTCAACGAACGGTTGTTGAGTCGTTGACCTTCCGACTTCCCTACGGCTTCTTGAGTTCCGTTTCTTCTTGCGAATATGTTATAGGGGTTGTGAAGAGTCAGCACGCATTCAACGAATAGCGGATTGGACGAAACAGAATGAAAATGAAGGCAACCCTTGTGTTTTCCGTCGCTCCAGGACCAGTTTTGGTAAAACGGCCGTATCGCCTTCGTTACTCGTCCGATTGACGAACCGTTTGCGGCTGTGGTTCACCGACTCGCCGGGCTACGACTTTAGTCAAGAAACCACGACCAAAAATTGAGTTGAACATGGTCGAAGTTCAGTCCAAAGTGGACTGACGGGATTTTGCTTACAGAAATCAGCAGCTCCTCCTTCCTCTTCCTCTTCTTCTCCTCCGTCGGCCTTCATCCGTGGTGTTGCTGCTGGCCGAAACACAAGAGAGGGAAGATGGGGAGATGTGTGTTATGAATTTGGAGGGGTTACAATTGATGAGAGAAGGAAAATGAAGAGAGAAGGAGGTTTATATTGAGGGGATGAATGGGGAGTTAATTGGTTACTAATGGGGAATTAAAGGGAGAATTGAATGGGGAGTTATGGGAAATGAAGAGTGTGGCGTGTGATATGAATTGGGAGTTACCTCCCTAAATCCCATTCCGTTGTGTAGATTTTGACCTGAACGGTACACGGTTTTCCCCCCGAACTTGCCCGAATTGAAACCGATTGCATTTTCGGAAATAACCAGTCAAAACTAAATTTATGATATCTTCAAAATATTTTTCTAAATACTTTATTTTCAAATTTCCGGATTCATCCCAATCATTAATTATTTTATTTAATTAATTAATGTTGAGAGGTCCGTTATTAAAATACATTGACTTTGGAAGTCCATTTAATGAGATCGAAATCTCAATATTTATCACTTAAAATAATGAGTCTCAATAAATAAATAATATTTATTCATTTAAAAATATTGGCTAAATATTAGGCCGGTTTGTGGGGCGTTACATTGATAATGACCAAAGGTCCTACATTGGGAAATAAAAACATATGGTCTTATATTGGGAAAGTCATTATGTTTTAGTCATATTTAGGTAAATTTCTCCTAATTATTTTACTTATTATTTATTTTTATTGGAATCAGATTAGAAATAATTTTAAATATAATTATATTTAAATCAAATCAGAATTTATTCCAGTGAAAAAAATATAATATTGACTAAAAAAAGAAAAGAGAAAACTCATAGACTTCTAAGCGTCCCCTGTGTTTCCAATTTCCATTGTTCGGTCGATCGGTGAGGTACTGAGGTTTTGACGACGCTAAGAGAACATAGGGAATTATTCCGGCACCGGAATCGCGAAATTTTCTCCCATGGAAACGAATAGCAACATAGCGATGATGATGATTAGGGCATCGAGGCCCAGCTTCCGAAACCCCCACGATAAACTGGCCTTCGCCGTCCATGCTTCCTTTGTTGCTTCTGGCTTTGTTCTCCTCGCAACCGGCGCTCCTGCCTTCACCGATGATCCCTTCTCTTCATCCCACGGCGGTAAATCTCCTCTATAACAAGTTTTTTCACAATCCAATCGCCCGATTCCAGTGGTTCTGTTTTTGTTTTTCAAATTGAAGGGTTGGTTTAAGGTTATGGTTTTTCTAATGCTTGGTTAGATGAGGTGGGGATCGATCACTGGAACGACTTTGAGGACAAATATGCCTTTATCTATTCACACCCAGATAGAAATTCAAAGAAGGTGTTAGTTAAGTGCCTTGTTATGAATGATAAACTCTTGGTTGATGCATTGGGGGAAGATGATAATGAGGTCCACCATATTGAACTGGAGTGAGTTTTGTAAGCATATGGGTAAGTTGAGGTCTTGAAACTGTAATTCTTTGTGATTGACTTTGTTGGCAATGTGCAGTTCTCAGGAATTTGTTGAAAATGGAGGGGCCAATTATAACTCCCAGTATAAGAATTTTGGCAAGCTTTTTGAGGAAATTACTAAGAAAATTGTGAGTAAATACAAGGGCTCTTCAGGAGGAAATTCGTCCACTCAACCATCAAGGTACATGTTTTTTATCACACCATAGATGCTTTTAGCATGGGAGAACTCTTGCATTGGGCAATCCTTCTCAGTTGTATGGAGAATTTTCAAATCTATGAAAAACAGAAAAAATTCAGGCTTCGTTCATTAGATAGATATTTCTCTTTATTCGAGAAAAGTAGAGGATGTATAAAAAATTGTGTTTCTCTTTCATTCTCCACATTGAAAAATGTTGGAAGATATCTGAAACTGGATGGCCAAAAAACAGAGCTGTCTGTGTAGAGAACTGAGCATTATTTTTCACTTGGACGGTGAAACAATGGAAAATTGTCGAAATGCTGTTTATAGAGTTAATTAATAGAAACTGAAAAATGTATTATAGTATTTTCCACAACTAAACATGCTCACATGCCTCTATTCATATTTGAATAATAGAAAACTTTGGAATGTGGACTTAAGTGCCGAATCCCAAGCCTTAGTTTTCCCTTAAACATGCGATCACTTTTTCTGTTTGAACTCTGTATAGCCGCTATAGCGGTTCGTTTTTATTTATCAGTGCAAAGGTGTTGAGCTTAGCTAGAGAGGTGGTTGTCCATTTGAGTGAAATGTCACTAATGTGCTTCTTTGCCATACCTCACACACAGTTCTGAAAAAGGAGTTATCCGAGATGATGCTGATGGGCTTGGTGCCGAATCTGTGGGCTCATATCAGCCTTCTCGTTCTTTTCCTCAAGGGTAAGTTCAAATTTGAATTTGTGTTGTTTTATACTCCGTATGTTATTTTATAGTTTTAGTTGTCAAGAGCATGCAAGGTACTTTTGCTGAATTTATTGGCCCAGGTATTATCGGCGCATGTGAAATTTAAAATTGAACTATTGAAGTCTAGACATCCATATATTTGTTTGTTGATGTGTTACTCATTTGTTTTTTCTTAAATAGGTACCTATTGTAACTTGTAATTATAATATGTGCTCAATATGACATAAAACTATGTGTTTTTGTAAGATTGCCATCGAGTAAGCATGCAATAATCTACTCAGTGGTTCAATTTTTATATGCTATTGAATTACTCCCCCCGTCCTAATTCTTTCTTCCCAGTTTGACTTTTCCCCATTTTTAATTTTTGTCTTTGACTACAAATTTTACCCTCCTTAAAAAAGATTTTTTGAATTTTTTTTTACAATCATTCAAAATATAGAGTTAGAAGATAATTGGTGTAAATACATGAGAGTATTAATGTCATTTGTCATCTTTTTTTTTCTAATGGGAAGGTAGTTTTAGGACGGGGAAATAGGGGAAGTGGGAAGAAAGTTTTAGGACGGAGGGAGTAACAACTAGGCTAATACACACTGTCAAAGAAAGAATAGGCTGTTCTGTTGTGAAAGGGAACTGATGTGATTGATATATTCTTATACCATGGAAATTGCTTGATAGATACTCTTCATATCTAGTAAGGGTCTCAATTGTTCATGAGCATCTAAATATCAATCAATGGGGTTCAAATGTTGCTGCTCTATGACATATGATGTACCCCATTTTTTTTTTGCATTCCAAAAACATGTTTAAAGCTCTGGAATCATTTTTCATGGATTTTGTGTGGCAGAGGGAGTATTCTGATTTCTGAACTTATTCTTCAATTTGAATATAATAATAAAAATCTAATCCTGTCCTTACAGATATGTTGTTCCTCCAATTCCTGCTTTTAGTGGCAGTGATACTATTCCTGCACCTGGTGCTGGAGTTTACCCAACCAGGTTCCTATGTTTTTTCCTGCTTTTTGGGTGGGTGGGTGGGGGGTAGAGTCCTGGGCTTGGATTGTGCTTCTAAACGAGCTTGTTTTTTGTTTGGTCCTTATCCCAACAGAGATACAGGAGGCTTTGGAGGCATGCTTGTAGGTTTGTGGCTGCTCTTAGTTGGTGTTTGGTTTTCAACTTTGGAAGTCTCAACTTGATTATGGTTACTTTGATTTCTTTTAGGACCCAGAGATGCTCGCTTTTTCCCCGGGATAGGTGGCGATACTGGTCTTCCTGGGGGACTGCAGTACGTTGTTTCCTTTCCATCCCATCCTGCACAGCTCCTTCTTACTCGTTTGTTTATTCATTTCTTATTTTCTGTTTTTACCTATAAGGAGATTAGGGATTAAAACTTTGGCTGAGGTTCTTAAAATTGTGGAAAATTTGATGAAGTTGATGAATTATGACTGAATATATTTAGGCTCCATTGGTAGACATAATTGGCTTCTTGTGCTGAATTCAGTAGAATAAGTGGGTGTTTGGGGTGTTTCTCTGTGGTGGTGCTTATTGGCTTATTGCTTATAAGCAATTTTTAATTTATGAGCTGCTTATAAATCAAATATTCTTTTGTGGAAGCAAAATGACTTAAATAATAGATAAATCATTTGTAAATATTCATAAATGGTGAGAGACAGTTTTGTTAATAATCTGGTCAAAACGGAGAAACAAAAAAACTGGCTTAAAGGTGTGTAGCTAAGACCTACTTATTTTTCCTTGCTTATAAGCTTATAAGCACACAAAAACATGTCATCAGCTGACTTATAAGCAGTTTTGACCAACTATAAGCAGTTTTGACCAACAAAAACATGTCAAACATGTCATTAGCTGACTTAAAAATTGCTTATAAGCAGTTTTGACCAACTTGTAAGTAAACACAGAGAAACACCACTAAGTAGTTTTGACTTCTTTAGCAAAATTATGCAGATTCAGCAATCAATCTCAGCCAAAAAACATTAACCAGACAGGCACATAACATACATTTTATTGATAAAATAGCAAAAAAAAATCCATACAAAAACAAAGCCATTGTGATCCTTGACCAACTTTAGCTGGGGTAAAAAGGTACTTTCAACCATACCTTTTTTCATCATTAACCACCTCAATGCACGTTAGGTATAATATCTGGCTGGATAAACCAAAAAATGTGGCATCCACACAACCATTAAACCTCAGAAATTTGTTTAGAGTTGCTGCATGGCTGTTTGTGTTTGTACCCCCTCTTAACCCATCAATTACTAATAGGAATTGACTCCTGATATGTTTGCAGGGGTGTTCCACCCGGTGCTCGTTTTGATCCGTTTGGTCCCCCGGGTGTTCCTGGTTTTGAACCAAATCGTTTTATCAGGTAATGTTTATGCACATTGTTGACCATAGTCAATTTATCATTATTAATGATAGCATTTCAAAGTGTTCCACATTCTATATTCTTTTTTTTTTTTAACTTGGGGCTTAAAGGTCACCCTGATAGAGCAGTAGTAGCTCAAGGGTCTAGGGCTTTTATTTGTATGTGAGACAAACTCTTCAATAGCACCCCATTGGCTAAAACATTGGCCAAACCATGCCATTGTTAAAGTAGGGCAAACACTCTCATGACCCGATGCTATACCATGCACCTTTTTTCACAGGGGGCCCACATCATAGTTACAAGGTTGGCCTTTATCATGGCTTTGCCTACCCTCCTAAGGGATCAACCTTATGGGATAAGCGACCCAAAGTTTTGTATGCTTTATGTTTAGCCAATATGTTACAAAGTCTTCAAGATAAAGTGAAGGGCAAAATTCGTTGTGGGATTCTGGGAGTTGAGACACTAACGTGTCATCACAATAATGAACAATGTGGCTAAATGCATCCTACTCGTATTTATATCTGAAAATTGACCAGGGATCCGACTAGGCCGGGAAGCAGAAGGAATCATCCGGACTTGGAGCACTTTGGCGGTGGTTCAGATTTCATATAGGCTATTTGATGGGAATCCATATGAAGCTGAACCTGGTATATGTGCAAAAGAAACTTTTATCATGCTTTTCTTTTGACATGTGGCGTATGCCAATATGTGTATGTAGGACACTAGTACTATTACTGGGCGCCGCACCCTTAGGTCTCTTGGGGAAATGCACTAAAACCGCTTTAATAGTTAGCCCCTTAAAGTATCCTTTGGAATATATATGTGAAACGCCATCGAACAAGCAATGACGATCATACCAAAAGCCAACTAAGCGAGGATGTGTGTACATTTGTGCTCCAGCAATGTTATTGTGTTGTTTTGCTGTGGATATAGGCTAGTGTAGTTAGTTCTTTAACACTATGTTTGGTTCAAAGAAAGAAAATAGTTTTCATTCACGTTTTTTCACATAAATGGGAAGATTTTTGTTTTCCTTTTTTATTACATTTTTAATAGCTTGATGCAGTTTTTTAAATTTGAAACTATAATATAAAAAAGTACGGAGTAATGAAAAAAGAAATATATACTATGATTTGAGTTTGAGTTTGATGCAATGGGTTGAAGATAAAACACTATGGAGTATATTTTTGAGTTTAGGTTTGGGTTTGGTATTATGATTGGAAATGGCCTTAATCTTGTATTGCCTTTGGGTTAGGGTAGTATCTAGGCTCAAGACGTTTTTTTGTGTGTTCCGAGACGCACATAAATGTTAGGCTCAAGCACAAACGTTCCTACATTATTATTAGAATTAAGTTAGGGGTACACCAACATGGGGTACCCTAAGTGTACACCAAGCCAACACAGACACACACAGACACAAAGTGTCTGTGTTGCACAGACATTTGGTGTCTGTGTGTGTCTGTGTTGGCTTGGTGTACACTTGGGGTACCCCATGTTGGTGTACCCCTAGCATGTTGCACAGACATTTGGTGTCTGTGTGTGTCTGTGTTGGCTTGGTGTACACTTGGAGTACTCCATGTTGGTGTACCCCTAGCATTGCCCTTATTATTATTATTACGGAGTATTTTTTTACAACTCTACTACTTGTATACGATTTTGGTGTACACCATCACTATTTTGCATTGGCACACTAATAAGTAATAACACACACTTGTACAAAATACCAGTGCAAACTTTTTGTGCAAGTGAATGTCATTAGTGTGCTAGTGCTGAGCGTTGATGTACAACTTGGGGTAGACCAAGTAATGTGCAGCCATCAAGATTAATTTTTTTAAGGATTATGCTATGTGTACCCCAAGATTTGTACCCCAATTTGTACCCCGCAGTTTTGCACCAGCATTTTGTGTTGGTGTAAAACTAATTTTTGTTAAATGCACCAACATTTGTGTCCGTGTGAATTTTTATTAACGCACCAATACTTGTGTCGGTGTAAACCATCGAAATGTTTGTGCAAACCTGTGGTGTAAAAATGGGGTATATTTGTTGGTGTAAGTGTAGCATGGTCCTTTTTTTAATCCATTCAAATCAAAGCGGGGTGAGGGGTTAAGGCGTGCAACTAGCAAAATTCATTTTATAATCCAAACACCTTTATATTTTGTTTATACAAAAACAAAACTACCCCTTGAGTCTAGACTCTAGAGCTGGACACGATGCTACTACAGTTCTGGTACTACTTCTGGAATTGGCGGTGCCGATAGTCATTTATTGGAATCAATACCATATAGGGGCGTTTCCAACACCCTAGTAGTTCTAGTTTTGGTCCCAGTTCCACTTTCGAAACCATTATGAATACTCTCTCCCTCTACCAAAAATATTCTCAGTGTGTATTACGTGATTTAATCGATTTTATTTTTAACTCAATTTATTTAATTAAAGAAATAAAATTTAAAAAATAAAATTTATATAGTGATAAACTACAATAAAATTTGTATAGTAATAAAACTAAAAATGATAATACTACATTATTTTAAGAAATAAATACTGAGCTAAATGTAGTTATGTGAACCCGATTCCGGTACCATAGCTGTTCTGGTTCAGGCATAGGGCCTCTAACCGGAGCCAAGGACGTAGACCCGTATACTAAGGGTTCTTTCTGGGGTTTATGCGTCTTCTCTCTCAGAAGTCACCCTGAATTTCACCTTCAAGTTCCCAAATGAGAGCGTCTCTTCTACATCACGCGCGCACATCTCATGTCTCACGCGCCTTCCTTTCACGGACTCTCACCGTCTCCGCTGCCGCCGCCGCCGGACCTGTATCCGTACCTTCTGTCAAAATGGCGGCCTCTAAATCTCAGTCGGGTTCTCGAGTGCTCCTCGGCATGTCCGGCGATGAGCTTCAACAAGTAGCTCTCGACTTAGGTCAGGTACGCTGAGTATTCAAAATTTTTCTTAGAAAAACAAATTACTCCGTCGAAATTTGCAATAACATTTGAATTTCCAAAATATAATTTGCTTCAATTGAAAATTGTTGTGCAGCAAAGTTATAGGGGCAAGCAATTACATCATATTCTGTACAAGCGGAAGGTAAAGGAAATACATGATTTTGTCCAGTGTAAGTGCCTTGCTTCTTTCTCAACTGCTAACCATTAGATTGTCATTTGTAGCTTAATGTCACTTCACGTGTTTAATTAATACTCTGTTGTGTTTTAATATATATATGTCCTCTGTGAAGTGCCACTGGAGTTCAGAAGAGAACTACAGGAGGCTGGGTGGAGTGTTGGAAGATCGCCAATTCATAAGGCAGTCACCGCAGCTGATGGAACCGTTAAGGTAATCCATAAAAATGTCGTTGTATGCTGATATTAGTACTCGCCTGTCTAGGAAGAGTTTGAGAGTGGTAGTTGTAAAAGTTAGTATAGAGTTGAATGGGAAGACTGATTGAAGTAAGTTTTTAGTTGGTTTTGCTGTTGCATTGTCTCCAAGCTTGTTCTTTTTTCAAGGAAACATATTGAAATTATAATTTTGAGTTAAGACTTGAGTTTTTTTATCCTGCTTATCTACAGAATAGTGCAGGAGATTTTCCATATGGCCTAATCCACAAGAGCAACTTACCATGGAGCACTTAAATAAGTTCCCATTTAAGATTAGAGATTTATAGAGGATTAAAATTAAGTCATGTACTCTTGTGCATGTAGATAACTAGTTCAATAGATTTGCGAAGTCTTACTGATCTATATGTTTGCCTTTTTTATTTCGGCAATCTCTCTCTACAGTTGTTGATAAAACTGGAAGACAACCTGCTAGTTGAGACAGTTGGCATTCCGGTCGAAGATGATAAAGGTTCATTTCGCTTGACAGCATGTGTCTCGTCTCAGGTGAACTTTTCACTTGTGTGTAGATTTCTTGTTATTCTGTAATATATCTATTTATTTTGCTTTAAAAATAATGAAGCATAATTATTCTCTCTCTCTCTCTCTGAATTGGCTAAGATTGCTTACAATAGTGTTAATACAGAGTGTATTATAATTTAAAACCAGGTTGGCTGCCCATTGCGATGTTCCTTTTGTGCCACTGGAAAGGGAGGATTCTCAAGGAATCTTAAACGGCATGAAATAATCGAACAGGTTTCTGTGCATTCCTTTTTTATAAAGTCACTATTTGGATTTTCATTTATCTGTCGCATGCATCAAGAAGGGAAGAGTGGATAAAAGGATAAGAAAGCTAAAAAAGATGCTATGTTTGGTTAATTGGTCCATTGAAAGAGTGAATGCAAATAGTACGAGTATTTCATAAAGAGTATGGAGAAAAAATTATGCTTGATATCATAAAAAGTAAAATAATTCTCTCACAAAAATAAAATAGATAAACAATTATATGAAAAAAGAAAAAGTGTGCTTAAGTGAGATAAGTGTAGTGAGCGTGCTTCATTGAATACGGAGTATTTGATACTAAGCGCAATAAGCACCATAAGTTTTTTTTTCTGCGCTTTCTTACTTGTTTATTTTATACGGAGTATATATTTCTGAAAAACCCACAGGTCTTAGCAATAGAAGAGGTATTCAAGCATAGAGTTACAAATGTTGTGTTTATGGGCATGGGTGAGCCAATGATGAACATGAAAGAAGTTCTTGAAGCACACCGTTGCCTGAATAAGGATGTTCAAATTGGGCAAAGGATGATTACCATTTCGACAGTTGGAGTTCCAAACACAATAAAAAGACTGGCTTCTCACAAGCTTCAGTCGACATTGGCTCTCAGGTGAATGCTAGGTGAAGTTTTATTCTTCTTCAGCACTTGTTATCCATAAATTGTGTTTTGAACGCCTAAAACAGAAGGGTAAGGAATTATGCAAGAAAATTATATTTTCATGTCTTGTATTTTGGGAAATCCAATCTGATTAAAACCTTTTGATCTTTGCATATAATAATATATTTTAGTCTTTATATAATAGAAGAATATAAGCAAAATGAGGTGGAGATTTGGGCAAATAGCTAATACTACCTCCGTCCCGGAGTATTCGTCCAGTTTTGACTTTTGGAACTGTTCATCTAAGCACTTTGACTCATCAAATTCTCTCAATGTGTCAGCCTAAATATAGTCATGTGTGATCTTGTTTGATTTGTCTTAACATATAGATTATTAATATATAATTTCTATAATTTTTTAATATACAAATTACAAGATAAAATGGATTAAAGAAGTATATTGGATGGTGTGTAAAACTGAAAGTGGACAAATACTCTGGGACGGAGGTAGTATGATTTTTTAAGTCGAAACTAGACCCGCACTCCCCCCTTCCCCCGGGGACAAAATCATTCCTTATAGACTTCCATCTATATTCATCTAATTTTCTCATCCATGGCATTTTCTGGGTTAAAAACGGAGTAACGGACCCATAGTGGCATAGTGTTTATGTCTTGGTTTACACTATATTTGCTTTCATATGCATCAGCTTACATGCTCCAAATCAGAAACTTCGGGAAAAGATTGTACCGAGTGCAAAGGCTTATCCTTTGGATGCAATAATGAAGGATTGTAGGGACTACTTCCTTGAAACCAGTCGACGGGTTTCCTTTGAGTATACACTTTTAGGTACTGATTATTGAAAACTGAGACAGAACATGCAAAGCTCATTTGCTGATATGCTGATGAATGGTTCTGTTTTGGCCTTTTTAACAGCTGGAGTAAATGATGCAGTTGAACATGCCATTGAACTAGCAGAATTGCTTCACAAGTGGGGCCGTGGACACCATGTGAACATAATACCTTTCAATCCGATAGAAGGCTCGGAATACAAACGTCCATATAAAAAATCTGTATGACCTTCTCTCCTTCCTTTTTTACCCTTAAAGGAATATGGTGATTCGCTATTGTTAGTACCTCAGTTATGCGGCTGTAGCAATTTTAGTCTTGCATTGTGTATCTCTTCGTGGCTATTTTGGTCCTTTTGACTAATGATTTAACCAATGCCCAGGTTCTAGCATTTGCTGCTGCTCTCGAGTCCCGCAAGATAACTGTCAGCACACGCCAAACGCGAGGACTTGATGCAAGCGCCGCCTGTGGTCAGCTGAGAAACGAATTCCAAAAACGCCCTTTGCACGCCGGCACTGATCACCAGCAGTCTCAATCAGAAGTTGCAATTGCTTCTTGAAACGGTCGATGACGAATTCCAAAAATGCCCCCCCCCCTCCTCCTATGTTAAAAGTTGAATATGTGGCTCACGCGATCTTCGGACAGGGTCACAGATGAAGAATGTTGGGTGAGAAAGTCGTGCTTCTTGACGAATGACAAATCAAACCAGCTCAAATTGGGAGTCAAAGATTTACAATTGTTGACTGGATTAATCTTTTCTTGTTGGTGTGATGTGCTTTCGGACATGTTATAATTTTTATTTAGTACTAATAGAGTTAAAACATTTTAGACGATGATTAATGTACATACTTTGGGTCATAGAGTTCAACCATTTTTTATATGTGGAAGTTTTTTAATAAAGAATTTAGTAATTTTTTAAATATTTTTTTATAATGTATCTAAGAGGTCATAATGAACAATTACTATAGAATAGAGGGAGAAAATAATTTTAAACTAGTGTTTAATGCTACATCAATATAAACACATTTAATCTAAATTATTTTTACACCAATTCTTTTTTTCGATTTTTGTCTCTATGTATCTTTTTGGTTTGTCTACGGTGTATTTAAATTGTTACTTTTTCTTACTTTTGATACATTGATATCACATATTTTTATTTTTCTTAATATTCGTATCACTCTTTCATAGTCCAAAAACTTTTAGGAATATATATTTAAATAGGATTAAAATATACTACTTCCGTCCATGAATATTTATTCAGTTTTGACTTTTTGCAGTCAGACAATATCGACCTTTGATTTGTAATTAAATATATTAATTAGATAACGTAATATATTGAAAATATTTTAAAAGGTAAATCTAAAAAATTGTGCTTGTATAAGTATCTAACAAGTATAAATTTTATTTAATCAATAGTCGAACTTAATAAATTTGACGGCAAAATATCAACACTGTACAAATACTCAGCGACGTAAGTAGTATTTCATATACCAAAATAATACTTTCAACATTTGTATATATCAAACTAGAACTTTTAATATTAATAATGTCAAAACAAAATATAAAAAGAAATACCAAAAAAATAAATAATGGCAAATTTAGAGCATCTCACACACATTAATTGGACTTTCGGGCAATAATAATAAATAAAAGCCCAATTAAAATCCTTAGTTACATATTCGGACTCTCTCCTCTCCCCCTTACATTCTTCCCTCGATCTTTCTGAGCTTTCTCTATTTCTCCCATCTTTGCATTCCAAAATTTACAGTTACGACTTCAATCCTCTCAAGGAACATTATCTCGGATCCCTATTTCGAAGCAGCGGGAGAGATTTGAGGTCAGATTCGCGTTTCTCTGTCGGATTCATTTTGATTTTCACATACCACTTTGTTTTTCATCTGAGATCATATTCTGCTTTCGTGTATTTTGAATTGTTATCTGTTCAATGCAAACCCAGTATCAATATTGATCATTACTGTTAGCTCTTTGATTAGTCTACACGGAGTGATTAATTTATGAATTTTGAATTCGTATGGTCTAGTAATCTTCAAATTGGGTGTTTTTTATTGTCTTTGGGGCGAAAGACCTGAGCTTTTATGGATGAATATGCATTCTTTAAGAAATAAATCTAGTGGAAATAGATTTTTCTAATTCATTTAACATCATTTAATAAATACTCTAGTTTTGAGTTATGAATAGTTGTTGTAAACCATGAAGCATTTGTATTGGGAACCTATAAAGCTACTGTTTTATCATAATTCTGACAGTAGTTTTGTTTTTTAGAATACCCGTGGCCGCGGAGAACTGTGTCAGTAATATTTTATCATGACTTTTATTTTGGCACGTAATAGAATTTAATCAAAATGACACATTAAACTTCTTGCTTCTTCCTTTCTAGGAGATGTTGGGAAGTAAATGCAACAAAACATATAGGGTCTAATGGAAAAAGCTTGTCTGTTTTTCAGGGTAAGACTATGTAGTATCTAGACCTCGAACCCCAGACCCCAATAGAATTTAGATTATACTGGTTTGTTGCTGTTGTTGTCGTAGAATGCATGTGGACTTTTTTTTGAAAATATAATTTTGATAAGAAAAATAGGAAGTGTTTACATAGTTTATTGTATGAGACTTTCATCATTTTTTTTGTGTTGTGAAACTATTAACAATGTATTTTGTTGTTACTATTTTGGAAAGGTAAAGCTGTCTCATTTGGTTTGTACCCATTTATAAGATTCCACTATTTCTTTTTTCAAATTATATGAGTTTTTTTTAGCACAAAATGAGTGATCACTTAAATAATAAAAAAACATAACAATTATTTATCAGGAAAGGATTGTCTTTAGTTCAACACTATATTTTCAAACTAAATAAAAAACCCAGCTTTTATTTGTTGAAAGAATTTGAATTTCTATTTTTATATTAAAATATTATCTCATACACTATAAAATAAAAATAAATTTTAAGTTATGTTAATTTTCTAATTTGTAAAATTTTTCTAAATGTGCTTTTTAACCATTTTCACTGTGGGTACAGTGGGGTAAAATTAGTTTTTTAATTTGTATATTTGACACAGTTATCGCGGCACCGAGTCGAGGCGCGGAATAGGGATACCGCCAGAAATGCCTAGTCGACTAGGCGACCACCTAGGTGACACATAATATAGGATAATTGCTATACATTAAAAACACTAATATAAATATATCAAATTATGAGTATATTGGAGTTGGTAAAGTTTAAATCTTTCTAATACCTCAAAGTTTAACTACCTAAGTTACTTTTATGTACTTTCCTAAAAAAAGTTGAAAAAAGCGTTATCGACTTAAGTTGGTACTTGGTAATAAATTAATCATTAAAAATCTAAAAAATTAAGCACCGAGTATTAATTAGGAAGATAAAGTAGAAAAAAACATTAACTTGTAAATAAACTAATTTATAAAGCATTAAAAAACAAAGCACTCGAGTAGGGGGTGTAAAACACTTAAAAGAATAGAAGGGCGCCTGGACGCCTAGGCAACGCCGTGATAATTATGATTTGACATTACTTTTTGTGGAAACATGTTTCACGTTAGTTAAAATTATTATGCATATTTATTTTTTCTTTGTGAAGTGATTTTTTGGATGATGGGTGAGTTACTTCTTCGTAGTTGCGACTTGCGATGAGGTTTCTAGTTATTATATAAATATGGAAATAGATTTCAAAATATTACAAAATCACTTCTATTAATTTTCATTAAACTAATTATGTCTCATACTCTCATGCACTTTTAAAAAAACTAATATTTGAATCTTATGGAAAGTAAGATAATAGACCATGTTTTAAGAAATTAAAAAATGAGCCATAACATGTTTTCAACTTTCTTATGAGTATTTACTTGGTAATGTAGTGGGAAAAATACAGAGTAATTTTTTCATTGAATGGATGTAATTTTATCGTTTGAAAACACAAAGGCTCAAAATATAGTGTCTAAGATTTGAGAATTCAAGAAGGCAAAGTTTTTGGCATAGAGAGAGAAAACACCTACATTCTAATGTAGATAAATGTTTAGCACGTACGGAGTATGATCAGATGACATTTTTTATGAATGCTTGACATTTTTTATTCTGCATTGACAATTGTTTTAACAATTATTGTATATCATTCACATGTTATTATGCAACTGTAACCTTTACTTTCCACAAACTTTGATTATCTACTTCTCTAGATACTCCCTCCGTCCAAAAATTATCTTCCCGTTGCGCGTTACAATGTTTGACTGAAGTTACTTTCAAATCATTTATATAAAAATGGTGTGAAATTAAAAAAAATTAAATACTCCCTCCGTTCCCCATAGATCTTCCCAATAGTCCTTTTTATTTGTCCCCAATAGATCTTCTCATTACCTTTTTTAACAATTAAAATACCACAACTACCCCCACTTACTTTATTTATTACACCTCACCTACCTTATTTAATACACTTCACCCATTTTCATTAAGGGTATTATGGTAAACTTTCACCTTTTTTCAACTCTCCTTAAAAACCACAAAAAGTCAAAATGAGAAGATCTTAGGGGGACGGAGGGGTATTAAAAAACTACATCAAAATATCTACAAAACTAGAGATGACATGACTATATTATTTTATCAAATGGGTAACAAAATAGGCCAACAAAGCGAATAAAGTTTGACCATGTGAATCGTGAACGAGAAGATAATTTTTGGACGGAGGGAGTATTTCACTTTTTTGGCCACGGTTGTTGATTGGCGGTGTTAGTAAATCCATTTTAAAGTAAATGTACAATCCCTCATTTAGGACAAAAAGAATATAAGTACTCTCTTCTTTATAAATTGTGAGTGGCATTATGGATGAGCTTGCTTATGCGCTGTAACCATTTGGTTGTTTTGGAAAATGATGACATCTGATAATGGCTTCCATAATCCATATTATTAAAATTCCATACATTTAAGGTTATATGAAGAAACTACTTCCATAATATAGCCAACTAAATAAAGAAAAACTATGATCCACAAACAAGCCGAATCCCGGGAGAAATCACACATTGTACAAAAAAGTTGCGTAATGTCATTAGGGCCGTGGTTCGTAAGAAGTTGGCAGAGGTCAATCTGGTTGTGGTACATGTCACTTTTGTACAGATGGGTGGAGAAAAAATGATGGGTACTCGAAACTGAGGTTTGTATTCAGATCTTTTTAGAACACAATGGGTACTTAGAACTGATTGGTAAAAAAGATTAGTGTTTTCTATGTCTGTGATTCTGGTATTTGTTCTTTTCTCAACTGCGACTTAGTGTTCTTTTAATTTTCAATGTATGATCCATTTTAAGAATGAGTTTGATTTCTATGTGGTTGATGATTTGCAGGTTTTAAAATTTAATATCTAGGCGCCCATATGTTTTGAGGTGACCTAAGTGTTGTATAGTGCAAGAATATGAGTAGTAACCATAATAAAAGGCCTCATGAAGAGTCTGGTGATTTGAGTGGCAGTGGCATTCACGGACTCCCATCTGCACCAAAATATGTACATGAAGATTCCAGTTCATATGCTAAAGTTATTAGCTCATCGACAAATGAGTATCATTCCTCTTATGATGCTGGACATGATGCCAGGGTGCCTAAGATCCCTCGAACTGAGTCTCGGGACGGTGATAGAAGATCACCTTTGCTTCCAACGTATAGAGTTTCATCATCTTTGAATGATTTACAGTCTGAGTATCCCATGGGGTTGGATGCCAGGTTGGAGGCAAGAGAGGGAAAAGATGATATAAGGGCTATGAAAGTTGAGATTCGTGAACCCAAAGCTGAATCAAGAGAGCTGTACCCAGGAGCTAAAGGCGATAAAGATCCTAGGATGGATAGCATGGTTGACGATATTAAGGAAATCAAACGTGAGAGGGACAGCTATTCAGAATACAAGGGTAATATGAAGACAGATAAGGATAGCTTTGCTGGAGTGAGTAGTCACATAAATTGGAAAGATCCAAAAGAACAAAGCTGGATGAAAAGATATCCTTTTCCTGATGTCTCAGGTGGGAATATGGGTCCATGGCATCCAAAAACCAGTGCACAATATAATGAAAGTTTAAAGGAAGGTGTAAATGATGTCTCAGGTGGGAATATGGGTCCATGGCCTCCAAGAACCATTGCGCAATATAATGAAGTTTTAAAGGAAGGTGTAAATGTTGAGAAGAAGGATTATGTTGAAGCATGTGAGACTGTTGGTGAAAACAAGGTTGATTTCAAAGGGGATGATAAGTTCAAGGGTAAAGATAGAAAAAGGAAAGAAGGAAAGCACTGGGAATGGGGAGGGGATAAAGAAAAGAATGGCAGTAAGAGCAACGTGCAACCACTGACTAACAATATAGATAATAAAGACACATTAAAGGAGGATAGAGAAATTGATAGATGGGAGAGGGAAAGAAAAGATCTGTCTAAAGATAAAGACAAAACAAAAGATCGGGAAAAGGATTATTTGAAGAGGGAAGTTTGGAGAAGTGAGAGAGAGAGTTCACATAATGACAAAGAATCAAATGATGCTACAGGGAGAACATTGGAACAAGAGACTGAGAAAAAGAAACAAAATGATCATGATAGCTGGAAAAATGGTGACAAAGAGATCAGAGAGAGAAGAAAAGAAAGAGATCAAGATGCTGAAGGAGAGAGAAGTGAGAAATCCAACAAGTATAATGACAATGACTCAGAGGAGGTAGGTGTGCCTGCAGATGGGGATGGAGATAGGGAAAGAGAGGGTTTCAATTATGGAGTTCAACAGAGAAAGAGAATGCTTCGTCCTAGAGGCAGCCCTCAAATGGGAAGCCGTGATCCTCGTTTTAGAACTCGCATCCATGACCATGAAGGGTATATTATTTCCTTTTTGACAATTGATTTGAATGTGTGACGTTTTTCATCCTACATGTGATAGAGAACTTTTTTGCACTTTATTTAGTTTAACTGTTGATGAAAATGTTAATGATTTGCATGTAAAGAAAAGGTTTAACAACAACAACAATCCAGCATAATCTCAACTCTTTTGGGGTCTAGGGTTGAAGATTTACACAATATTACCCCTATTTTCAGAGAGGATGTTTGCATTAGACCCTAGATGCATTGTTGCATGTACTAGCTAAAACTTCACTAACTACATGTAAAAACATTTAACTTAGTTTTTCTAGCTATTGCCTATCCTTTTTCACTCTTGGCTCTCTTGCTCTTCTTCCTAACATGAAAACATAAGAATGAATAAATTGTTGTATTTCAAAGTCGTGTTTGTTATGCTTTCAAGAAGTTAGTATTTGTGATCATGTTTCTTGATGAAGCCAAATCTTTAAAATATGGTGGTATTTTAAATTACCAACATTACAAATTTGGATTTCTAAGATGACACTAGATTCATACTAAGTTTTGGAGCCAATTTCTTCTTTCTCCTTACTCCTTAGCCTATTATCTTTTTTTGAATTTCTTCTTACCTCTCATTTTTGGAATAGATCGGGTCGAGACGTGGAGTAGATGTTCTCTTGAGAACAATTTGGTCTGCATCTCTCACATTCATGTTGTAGCCACTAACAACTACCTACATCCAACCAATTCTGCTCTATCTGAAACTTAGCCGCTTGGCAAAATGTTTTCTCTTTAGTCACCGGCTTGTGGGAAGTTAATATGTTTTCTGCTTGCTTGCTTGATTCTCTTATTACTATTGTTGTTGTTAACCTGTTATTATTATTGTTATTATTATTATTATTATAATTATATATGGAGTATTTTTTTTGGAGGGTGGGGGGGGGGAGTTGGTTAGGGTTTCCTTATGGACAGTTGTTACCTTGCACCATAATTTAATTAGGTTATGTCACTTACTGTGTCACAATTGCAATTTCATTACCCTGCGAATTTTGAAACTACCTTTGTGCTAAACCTAATTTTGGATGTGACTGCAGAAAAGTTTCTAGAAAAGGTCCTAAGTTAGTTTAAAACCCTCTTTTCTTTAATTTCCCTTCATCAAGTGTCTTCCCCCGTTTTATTTCATCACACAAATTGTGGCAAATTTAATAACAATTCCTTTTTAAGTTTCAGTTCTTAACATCATTTTCTTTGTTGTCTCAAGAAATCCGCCAATTTATTTTTTTATAAGCATAAAACATTGAAACTTTAATGGAAGAAAGTGGGTTTACTCATACTCCATGCTTAAAGCAATAGAAAACTGCTAGAATCACAATATGAAAATTTGAGCATTTTAGGTATATGCTATTAAAACTTGTTTTTTGCTCTTTTTTATAGTTGTGGATGTTATATCACTTGAAATTCTTGAGATGACATTCTGATGTGCATGAATGCTCTTTTATTGCAGATCTCAAGGTAAGCTGCTTGATGGATCTATTCACAAAGGCAACTTAAGTCTGCTGTTATTGAAAGGGATTAACCTTTGGCATGCATCTATGCATAATTTACTCTTACCATCCAAGAGAAATTGTTTTATTTTGTTTGCTTGCTTGGCTTTTACTCAAAGCAATGTTTTCCAACTAAAGTATAGAATAAATTCATCAATGTACTTAGTGCACTTGATCATAAAAATAGTAGTAAGGGAACCAAATAATCAATTTTGTTTTATACTTCGTATTAACTAGATAACTCAACTCTAGTGAAAGTGCATAACATGATTGAATTTACAAAATTTCCTACCTCTGTGTTTTGACAAATCCTTTTCGCATAGCGAATGTTATTAATGTTCACAAGTAGACACATTAATGAATCCTTTGAAGGAAATCATATGCTTCTTAAGTTTTGTTTTCAATTGCTAGAAAACAGGTTTTCTCTTTAATAAAATACTGAAGAGTGAATTTTAGTGTTTTAGCAAGAAAAAGGGAAACAGAAAAGAATAATAGCGTAAAGCCCAATGCAGGTTAGTTTTAGGTGGAAAATCTTCCCCGATAGATTACAACAACAAAAACAACCACTAAGCCTTAATCTCAGATCAATGGGGTCGACTACATGAACCAATATAAATCTCTGGCCTTCAACTACTGAAGCCCTTTTTACACTTTTGCTAAGAATCATGAGAGTCGTTAATTCCAGTTGAATGATGATCCTTCTACAAGGAGAAGCCTAAGAATGATAAGATATTAATGTCATCCTTTCTCATATTATTTGTTTATGACTTGCAACATACCTTCATAATACTCTCACAATCTTGGCCTTTGTGGAGAAAATAATTATGATTTACTCAAACAAAATTTTTATGCTTAGCCTCTTAGCTTAGTGTTTCACACAAAATTAGAAGGTCTAATATTCGGTTCAATTACCAAATAGGTTTTGTGGACTGTTTAGTAACTTTCAGAAAGCTTTTGTCTGAGGTGAGAATTGGGTTGGAAGCATCCGAGAAATGGACATGTTTAGCTTGTCTTTCATATGTTATCAAAGTTTTGTTCACTCTTCTCAATTGATTTGGGTGGAATTAATATTTAAGGCTTGCCAAGTGGTTATTGTTTACCTTAAATAATAACAACTATAGGGGGGGTGCATTTTAGATATTTAATGCAACATCTAGATTTATAAGTTCTCTAGTTGGTTGAACATATAACAGCATAATCATTAATTGGAAAAAAATTAAACCACCTGTTCCCCGCCCTTCTTTGTTGATGATCCGAGCTGCTGGAGGGGTTCAACATGTTGAGTGGGTGAAAATCCCATGGCTCAGAACATCCATTGTGTGTGTGTGTGTTGGGTTCTTTTCCCCTCCACTTTTCCTACACGATGTGGTCTTTTTACATATTAATTTTTATAGAAAAGAGCTTTACACTTTCCTTTTTTTTGGATATCTAAAAAAACTTTACACTTCTCCACTTTTCATTCATGGAAATAATCTTAGTTCTCTTTCTTCCAAATTAATTTCAATCACATTTTTCATTTTTCACCAACCACCTTTCAATATTAAACACTCTTCTCAAACTCCGTGAAGTCAAACTGTAAGGTTGATTTAAAGACGGAGGGAATATATATTTTTAACTGCTACTTAAAAAGTTATGCCGTAGAGAAGAGAGAATTTGATAATATTTGTTGTTTTCCGTAATTTCTTTGAGAATGCTGTTTGGAAATATCTGCGCTCTGTAACGCATGTAACATTTTTTTGGACGATATCAATTATATGGTATTGTAATAAAGTACTTGCTCTAGACCAAGCTGATATAGAAGGTTGAACCAAAATCAACAGAGATTGATTTTGTGCCGGCGAACAACACATCTTAACCTCAAGAAGTCGCAAAATGTGCCCTTGATTTGTCCCGTCTAAACATTTTCCATTTTGGTGCATGTGTTTTCCCTTTCTGAGCTGCGTAACACATCCTACGTGGCTATGATGTGTGACAACATACATGTCTAAGGCATGCTCCATTTGGGTATATTCTATTTCTAGACATTAAGGGTGTGTCTGGAGTAGCGATTTAGGTCGCTTCAATCTCATCAGTCATACGGTTCTACAAGATCCACCTGTTGAAAATTCCTAGGTTTCATTGGGAACGATGAATTGCTCTAACCACATTTCATCTTAATGGCCTTCTAGAGAGCAGTTGCCAATTGGAGTGATGGAACACTTCCGCTATTGTAACCACTCTCCCAAATGCACTCTAAAATAAGATATAGATTATTTTTCTTGTTTTTTGGTGCCCGAATCATCTGCCTTAATATTTTTGTGATCTCCTGCTTCAATTAATTTCTTCGCTTTATTTTTTTGTTTTCGGAAGTTTCTGCTTAGTTATTACAATCAAATCATATAAAATCCTTCAGTTTTGAATCCATTTTATGTTCATAAAAAACCCCATTTGATGATATGAACCTGATCTGCCTTTTATTTTATGCTTTCTTTGTTTTTAATTTTAAATTCATACTGGTTGGTTTTAGGTAAGCCTGATATGTCCAGCATCGTTTATAGAGTTGGGGAATGTATGCAAGAACTCATTAACATTTGGACGGAATATAAATCTTCTCAAGCTGAGAAAGTATGCGATAGCGCTCAAGCTGGCCCAACCTTGGAAATACGAATACCAGCTGAGCATGTGTCTGCTACAAATCGCCAGGTATTGGAGAAGATGATTCAACCTTTGGTTAATGGCTATCTAGTCAAAATAGGAAAGTAATGGCCTATTTTCCTATTTGCTACTCTCTCTCTGTCCCAAAATAGACTTCTCATTTGTTTTATCACAAATTTTGAGAAAAGTGAGGATATGCATTTGTGATTTATGCTGAGGAGAGAGAAGCAATGTGAACCATTCATTCATTTCCCTGAAAGGAGTAGGAAGTTTATTTTGGACAAACCAATAAAGTGGGAACTTTATTTTGGGACCGACGGAGTATATGTTACCCATAACAAAATAAAAAAAAAAAACCTGTTTGGGGGATGTACACAGATGTTACCTCTACTCAATAGGGTAAAGAAGGCCTCTTGCTTAGATTTTGAGAAAACCTGTTTGGTTACATTTTTTCTGTCTATATTCTTTAATTTTGAGAGCTAGGACACTGACACTCTGTGTTATATTGCAAGCAGTTTTTTCCTGTTTCAGGGAATTTTGATTAAATGTTTGAAAAATAAATTCAGCATTCCTTACTATTTGCTTATTTTTTTCACAACATGCTAGTGAATATAAACATGTCATTCTATTTTCTCCCGCTCCTTTTTGTTTTCAACTTTCTATCTAGTTTCATAGCCTCAAAAGGTTTAACTGCTTTTGCTGCTCTCCTCTTTTCCTCCTATGCCTCTACCCTTAATCTTTCTGGTTTATTACGAGGTTGTAGGACCATAGACATGCATGTCTATTTCACAATTAAAGCAGCATAACGCTATGTGAGGGACATTATTTGGGTTTCAAGTATTACGCGAATGAAAGATCATACATTTGTGATTATAGTTTTTTGGAGCCATGCTGTCACATGAAAATCTTTTTATGGACCTTTTTCCATTCTTTAGTATATGTAGTTTATGTGTTTTGTTTTCTCAAGGTGTTTTCTTAGGCTCCCCTACTTCCTACTCCTTTGTGGTTGTATCCTTTTTATCCGTATCATCTTCTGAAGTGTATTGAGCTCTTTGAACATATCATTTGCAGGTGAGGGGCGGTCAGTTATGGGGAACAGATGTATACACGGATGACTCTGATCTCGTTGCAGGTTTGGCATTTATGGGTGTAGTTTTATTTTTTTTTGTTTCTGGTTGTATATTGAAATGATAAGAGCTGAAGTAAAAATGTCCATTTAAGTTTAGCTCCATCCCAATTTTCAATGGTCTTCAAGTTTCTTCTTTGGAGTATAGTGTCTAAGAATGTTTGGATGACTTAAATTAAATGGCTTTGTTTTGGTAAGGGTTGAACTAATGAAAGGAACCTCAGCTATAAGATCAAACCTAAAACACCATCGTTTCAAACTTTCAATTGCATAGTCTCTATCCAGAGACAAATCATACTTTTGCAGTGGCCAAACGATTGTAATTGCTTTGTTAGGGCCATTAACATATACTCCCTCCGTCCCGCTATATTCGTCCACTTTTGACTTTTGAAACTGTTCATCTAAGCACTTTGACTCATCAAATTCTCTCAATGTGTAAGCCTAAATATAGTCATGTGTGATCTTGTTTGATTTGTCTTAACATATAGATTATTAATATATAATTTTTATAATTTTTAATATACAAATTACAAGATAAAATGGATTAAAGAAGTGCATTGGATGATGTGTAAAAATGAAAGTGGACAAATACTCTGGGACGGAGGTAGTAATAATAATAATAGTAATAATAATAATAGTTATAGTAATAATAATAATTATAATGATAATTGGACATGAGGCGACACACACCAGGATGAATCAACTTCAAGTAGGTATGATAGGAATGTGGTGGGGCATACATCTTAGTAACGACTTTGGGCTTAGTTGAGGTTTTATTGGGTAATTGCGATGGTTCTTCATTAGTTATTAATTCACTTGCCAAACAACATGTGGATGCAGGATGCATATGCTGATATGCTATTCATGCAATGAGGAAATACACTGATCATTCTCTAATTACTTCTCTGGTTTAGATGACACTTAAAAAAACAATGTTTTATAAGACTTCATAAAAAATGGTACATGGGCCTGAGATTGAGAAGCCTGGGGGTGGTATGTTATGATCTGATGATATTCACACTTTGGGGGGGGGGGGTATTCCTATCTTTTTTTTTGAACCACAGCACTCTTTATTAACTCATCAAAATAGTAGGTCATACAAACCTCAATACTCCAACCTCCACAAACCTACCTACTGGATTACATGCTACTCTTCCTCATCTTACTACTAATGAAACAATTAATATTAAACTTAATGTAGGCTACACACTCATCCACCCTCATTTCCTCCTTTTGGTGCCACTTAATATTTCTTGCCTTCCAGATTGTGTAGCAGGTGGCAGCCCACGTTGCAATCCAGATTCTTCTCTCCCTTCTTGTGCCATGCTTGCTTAACTTGATATAGTATTCATGGAAGCTGGCAGCTTGGAGTATGCATCCCATTGGTTCTAGTACCTTACTGATCAGCTCCTTGGCAAATGGGCAGTCCCAAAAAAGATGGTTGATATCCTCTTCCCCAATGTCACAGAATAGGCATTTCGTATCAATGTTGAGGAATTTGCCCAGTCTCTGTCTTGTCTGTAGCCTATTCTTCAGTATCAACCACATGTTGAATTGATGTTTGGGAATAGTTAGTCTATTCCACACCAAGTTAACCCATTCTACTTTAGGGGGTTGACCTAGGAGCCAGAGATACCCTTCCTCTGGTGTGTATTCTCCTCTATTGTTCATTCCCTCAAATTCTGACCTCACTTTTATCATCCTCTTCCAATAATAGAAAGTATCCTGTTTTGGGTTGTAATTCCAGAACTCCATGTCCTTAATATATCTACTATGAATCCACCTAACCCATAGGTTATCTTTCTTGTTTTCAATATCCCAATTTAGCTTCATCACTAAAGCTTTGTTCCAGGCATTTAGATTCCTAAACCCCAGTCCTCCACTTCCCTTTGGCTTGCAAGTGTCTTCCCAGTTGACTAATGGAACTCGTTTGTAGTGATCAGCAGCCCCCCAGAGGTAGTTCCTACATAAGGCTTGCACCTTCTTCATTACCCTGCCAGGAATGATGAAAATTCTACACCAAAAGCTAATGATTCCAAACAAAACTGAGTTAATCAGTCTGGCTCGCCCTGCATATGATAAGTGTTTAGTGGCCCAACTTGTGATCCTTGACGTTAACTTCTCTATGAACACATCACAGTCAGCATTAGACAATTTATTTGCTGAGATTGGACAGCCTAGGTATGTGAAGGGGAGTTTGCCCTCTGTGATCTTTGTCATATCAATAAGCTTTTGCTTCTCTTTATGGGCGACCCCCGCCATTACAATCTGTGATTTACCACGGTTGATAGTATTCCTATCAATGGTGAATTGAAAAACTGTTTTCTGTTTTTGAGAACTGAACTTCTGAGCTGCCCTAATTTTCTTTAGCTCAATGAATTTTCTCCATTACATTTTTTTCCCAAATTTTCAGTCATTTGGATCAACCCGTAGGATTTTTTTTATTCTGACTTGGTTGAGAAAGGCATTTGGCATTAATTTTGCGAGGATTATAGAGTTAATTAATTTTATACAACTAATTAGGACTATAAATTTAATCTCTCAATTCCCACCAACCCCAACTACTTGGGACTATGTTTCTAATAATGATGATGATTTATCATTTTTACCAAACACACATATGTGGCTTAATCTTCTGCAGTTCTTATGCATACGGGCTATTGTCGTCCAACTGCTTCTCCTCCTCCCCCTTCAGTTCAAGAGTTGCGCGCAACTATCCGAGTGTTACCACCACAAGAATGTAAGTCTATGATATTGCATTTTTAAAGGGATTGATTTAAACTCTCTTTGTCACAAGTGGAATCAGTGTTTGTTAAATGGTGGAGTAGTGTTACACAAGGGAGTTCACAATGTTTAGTGATTAGTTTTATTGATCTATGGTTTACTGATTTCTGATTGTAGACTGGCTTATGTTCTTTATAATAGATCTAAATCATATAGGGTATTAAAATATTAAACATGTTGATTATGGGACCAGATAGATTTCTGAACGTATATCCATTAAGATCAGTTTCTATGGTCTATTCTTTAACTGTGTAATGTTTATTTTTACAACTTCTGTGAATCTATTGCTGGATGAAACCTACTTAGTATTGTATAATTTCGAATTTCAGTTTTATTTCAATGGCCGTGATTGAAAACTGGAAATACTTGATTATGAAATACAGCCTTGTTCGGAAGATTATAAATGAAGTGCCTATCTAGAATTTCATTTCACAGCGTCATCCTAAATCTAAGACTGCTGTTGTCCTCTAGTATTTATTTTCTTTGAAGGCTTAGTACTTTTTCTTCCCAGACCCTACTCTTGTGGGATTTAACTGGGTTGTTGTTGTTGTTGAAGGAAAAAAGAATTCCCACATTTTGGTTTTGAAAATCACAACATCCTTATTTTAAGCAAACATAATGGAATTCAATAAACTCAATAGTTTCTTATTTGGGGTTTCTTGCATTTCTGATACTCTGTTTAAAATTTTCAAGCGTATGTATCAAGTTTGAGGAACAATGTTCGTTCACGTGCATGGGGATCTGGAATTGAATGCAGTTATCGTGTAGAGCGGTGCTGCATTGTGAAGGTGGGTAACACAAGCTCCTCTCCTTGCTTCATCTTTCTGCTCTCGTCAATGAACTTTTACTTGACTGTCATTCCACTGTAACTCACTTATGTTATTCTAATTGGAAGGTAGATGCATTCTATGATGCTAAACTGCTTGGCCAATATTCACCTTTGTAATATATGACTAGTTAGTAGTTGCTTAGTTTGTAATGATGGATGCCTTAAAATTCTAACATAAAAGATTTGGTTGAATGTTCTCCTTATATCAGAAAGGAGGAGGGATAATTGACCTTGAGCCTTGCCTTACACATTCATCAACAATGGAGCCTACCCTTGCTCCAGTTGCTGTGGAGCGTACCATGACTACAAGAGCTGCAGCTTCGGTACGGTTCTTTCTGATGCTGGAATTTTCTAGTTCTATTTAAAAGAAGCAGTTCTCTACAGTATCATCTGGGATAGTATACCAAATTTGCAAATTATGACTGTTTTGCTTTTCATTCCTCACTTCCATATTATTTTGCATGAGAAGTCACAGTCTTTATGAATTTGGACAATGTGTTGATGGCATCTGTCTCATATTTAGTTGGGTTACATAAGGTCATGTAGGAGAGAAACCTTTTGTACACATTACACAACACACTGCACATTTTCCAGTTAGTTAGGCAGTTTCACATGGAAGTTAAGATTGACCTTTCACAATGCCAATCTAGAGTCTTCCATCCAAATTTTGCTATAGTATGAATCCATCTGATTATTAGTAAATTGATAAGAATATTGTAAACTCTGTAACATTTAAAGAGTGAAAAAGAAGAGAGAACATCAAAAAGCAAGAAAAGTAGGCATGATAACATGAAAAATGAAGGGCTATGTCATTTGTCAAGCCTTTACTTGCCAAAGAGAAAGTGGAACAATAAATAAAATTCGGGGAGTGTAGTTATTAGGGAAGAGTTAAGTGAAGTTTTAATTTAGCTTATTTTGATATTCTAGCTTTAAAATTAACTTCAATATTTATTATGTTCCCACTATCTAGAATGCATTGCGGCAACAGAAATTTGTCCGTGAAGTCACTATACAATACAATTTGTGCAATGAGCCCTGGTAAGATTTTTGATACACTCAACTCAAGTTTAGTGTTGCACCTTTTGTTTATTATGAAACAATACTTGTTAGTGTACATCTTGCTACCTATTTTTATTTTATGCCTTCGAGACGTGGGTCAATCGGAAATAACCTCTCCACCCTCACGGGTGGAGGTATGCTTTGCGTACATCTTACCCTACCAAATCACTTGTGGGGTTTCACTTGGTTTGTTGTTGGGTTGGAACAATACTTGTTAGCATCCATCGGTGCTTATGTTGTTGCTGCGCAGCCTGTCTGCAGTCACTGTTGTAACTGCTGCCATTGCTTTTGCCTATAAAAAAAACTCCTAGTTTTTGTGACTTCATAATTTCATTGTGCCTTGGACTGGGGTTCTAGTCGCCTTCTGGTGGGGGGATGGGTACTTTTTGCAGTTGATAAATGTGGGTTGGTAAAAGGATTCATGTTTTTGAAGAATAGGGAAACACTAGAATTCGAGCTTTTATAATTTCATGGACATTAAGATAAGATTCGAAATTAAAGTTGTCTTTGATGGTGAAATTTGCATGCCTTGTCAGTTATATTTGAGTAGTTCAATAGCTCATTCGTTAAAGGATAAGAGTTTCTATCAAAAAATAACAAATAAGGGTAAGAGTATCCTGTATTTTCACCCACATCTTGAGCAAGCATACATGATCTTGATGTAATTTATCTTTTGATGTGATATTGCCTACTAGTTCCGTTTTTTCATACTCAGTTCTCTTTCTGCACATCTCCAGGCTCAAGTACAGTATAAGTGTTGTTGCTGACAAGGGTTTGAAGAAACCTCTTTTTACTTCGTCACGCCTGAAAAAAGGAGAAGTGTTATACTTGGAAACCCATACCCGCAGGTATTATAATGAATTAACTGTTTTCCTACTCCCTCCTTTCCAAATTAAGGTTCTCGGGCACGGTTATTAAGAAAGGTGAAATTCATTGGGTGAAGAAGCCTTCACTATTGAATGTACGAAGTTATAGTTTAGCGATAGAAAACACATCATCCCTTCCATTAAAAGGCTTTTACCAAAACTTTTTTGGTCCCAAAAGAAAGAGTCCTGGTTGATGAAGTGAAGAGAAGATATTTTTTCTAGACATTTGTAGATATATAGTAACAAACAAGTTGTTATGACTTGTAACAGCTCTACCCTACTAAAAGTCAAAGATGAGTGTTTTATGGGACTGATGGAGTACTAGGTTTTCTTGCACTTTGATGTTTTTATATATAGTTGGAGTACTATATTCTTAACTGTCATCACCGAATGTCAGATCAGTTGGTTATTCATCAACTTTACCATGATACAAACTATACAAAAAACACAAACATTGAAGAACACTTCTATCAATATTTTTGTTGTACTCTCTGCAATATTTTCCTTTGTTGGTTATATTTGCATGCCTCTAGGGCTTAGGCTCTCTGGACAAATTGGAAATAATACTCGACAAATTAACTACTCTTCGGTATTTTAAATGTTTTATCAAGCTAAATTTTGTCATATGGGGTTTTTTTATATATAAAGGTATGAGCTATGTTTTCAAGGAGAAAAGATGGTAAAGGCTACAGCTATATCTCATGCACATGAAGTTGAAAGTGAGAAACATCATCATATTCATCACGTTACCCCTTCTGTAAGTGGCGAAAAAAATGTGGTGGTGGATGGTGAAAATGTGGTCGTAGATGTGTTCCGTTGGTCGCGTTGCAAGAAGCCTCTTCCCCAAAAAATGATGCGATCTTTTGGAATCCCTTTGCCCCTTGATCATGTGGAGGTACACAACTCAATGCTTTTCGTACACTCTTTTGACTACTAGGGATTTATCTCATTAATTTCATAATGTATGTATAAAAATAGACTCCATATATGTGCATTTTTGCATTTTCATTTTCAAGATTTTGTTTTTATTCATTTATGGGTTAGAATTTAGAAGTGTTATTAACAACAAAGCGAAACGAAACCTTTTAACAATGGAACGAGCATTGTGTAATTTATTAAATGCTCATGCATCAATTTCATAATGTGCATGCTCTAAGTATATGCAAATTAATAAATGTGCAAATTATTGGGTAACTTATAAATGTGCAAAGTATTGTGTAACTTATAAATGTGCATATGTCGAATGTACATTAAATACCATACATCCATACGTATAGTATAGTAACTCGCATTGCTCATCTTGGTAACCATGACCCACCGTGATGGTGCACCTACCCATACGTGTTGACTCGCTTATGGTGAAATTTATTTAACTCACATCATCTCTAATTTTCACAAGTTATTGAAATGTGGAGTCTATCTTTCTTTCTTGGAAGAGTCATAGTTGTGTCATTGGACTAAAAGGTCCTTGGCGGAGTCTTTCATATTTATGGTAAGTGTTTATGTGAATGATAATTTGGGCAGGTTATGGAGGAGAATCTGGAGTGGGAGGACATCCGATGGTCGCAAACGGGCGTTTGGATTGCAGGAAAAGAGTTTGCTCTGGCCAGGGCTCATTTCCTTTCTCCAAGTTAGTGTTAATTGTGTGTGATATATTTATGCAGCCATCAAAAAGAATATAATGGAGAGGCAAGCTTTGTTAGTTGTTTCAGTGTCAACATTTAAAGAAGGAAGTGATTGCTCATCTGATGTGGAATGCTATTTAAGAAGTTTTTTTTTCTGGGTTTATTTAATGGAAACTCTATCTAATAATTTATGTTGACTGTTTGTGATTAACGTGTCTGATCTCATGTGTTAATCTCTACCTTCTTTGTGGGTTAGCTTCTTCTATCAGCTAAAATGGTTCTTGGCCCTCACAATATATTCTTCTTGAAATAAATGATGATCTTCAACAAATGTGGACACAATCAAGATTGAAATGATAATGAGTATGCAAAAACAATGTGCTTACTTTTTTTTGCAATTTCATTTTTAATATTTCATGTTTAATCTTCCATGGATGATTAAAAGTGTTATCAGTATTAAAGTGAAAAGTTATTTTAGTAACAAAATGAAGATTGTGCAAATATTAAATGTACATGTATTGATATTATAATGTGTGCTCTTATATATGTAAAAAAAATGAACATTTTATAATTTGTAAAAAAGTACTTCCTCCGTCCCATTTTATAACGCCTGTTTCGGTTTACGATGTTTGATTGAAATTATTTTCAAATCATTTTATATGACAAATGGTATAAAGTTAAAAAATAAAAATTACATATTAAAATACTACATCAAAAGATCTACAAAACTAGTAGTGACAATAATATTTTATTTTATCAAATTGCTAACGAAAATAGAGAAAGAAAGTGAATGAAGTTTGATCTCGTGAATAGTGAACATGCATTATAATTTGGGACGGAGGGAGTATATGTTAGATGAGATAAATAATTTAGACAAAAGTTGTCTTTTAACTACGAATATTATTTTTTTAGTGTCGAAAGTGGTACAAAAATAATTTACATGTAATACTTCCAAATCTTCCATTAATGTTTTCTAAGTACGGAGTATCAATTTTTAAAAGGATGAACAAATATTGTCACATGGATGATTATTAAACTCCTTGTACCCTAAACCATTCATTATTAACATTTTCTTTGTCCCTAAATAAATTACATGGAAGTCAAAATGAGATAAATTTTTAAATTTTTTAAATTCATTTTATTTAACAATTGGTATATAAAAATAAAAAATTAAACTCACATATTTAAAAAACTATGTCAAAAGTACTAGTTGTTTGAGACGAGAGGAGTACTTAGATACTCCCTCCGTCCTATAATGATCTTCCCGGTTCGCAAAATCCCAAGTTTTTTCAATCTATTTTATTTAAATATTGGTATAGAAATAAAAAATAAAACATACATATTTAAAAACTACACCAAAAGTTCAACAAAACAAGTGGAGACAAGAATATTTTATTTTATCATATAGGCCATGAAAAACACAAATAAATATAAATTCCCGTGAATGTGAAATAGTGCTCTGGGAAGATCATTATAGGAAGGAGGGAGTAGACATTAGAGTACTTGTTTGTGACACATTTGTCCAAACATGCACGATTTTCTCTAGGCCAATTTTGTCCAAACAAACACGTTGCTTTGATTAAATAGGCCCAATCTTTGAGCTTTAGACAAGAATGATTCATGTCATTGTAATCGTGTTGCTAATTAAAGTTAGCATTTTGAGTACTTTATTAATATTGCACATCAACAATAACAACTTAGTTGACTCCCATGAGAGTAAGGTCTAAAGAAGATAAGCGTTCGTAGACTTTACCCTACTTGAAGTAGAAAGATTGTTTTTAAGAGACAATTGGTTCAAGAAACACAGATAATACCATCTCACAAAAGACACATAAAACATAGAAAACCTAGAAAACAAAAAAAGCCAAGAAAAACTAAACTCCTTTCATCCGAAATAAGGCTAGTGTTTTGTTTATGATGCTTGGCTGGAATTATTTTTAAATCAATATAAGTAAATTGGCCAAATAGATCCACTGCTCTTGTAGTTTAGAAAATTGGCACCAATACCCCCTCAATTTTTATAATTTATTTCTAAAATTCTCGTGGTTTCAAAAAGTTACACCCACACTCCCTCTGATCATTTTCTGGTTTCCGGCAAAGAGGGGGCATTCGTGCATATTTTCTAAACCGTAGGGGGCACTCGTGCTAATTTCTTATTTTTTGTTTATTATTTGGTTTTTTTCTTTTTTTAACTCTTTTTTATCTATTTGTTTCTTTTTTCTAGAAATTTTTTTAAAATTTCTTTTCAATTTATATAATGTTTTAAAAATCAAAATTCTTTATGTTTGAAATAAAAATACAAATAAAAACAAATAACATATACATGATCTATCTCAAATAAAACATTTAACTTTTTGTTTTCTAGAATATTTTTTTGGTAATTCAGAATAAAAAAAATTATGGAAAAAAATGAAAAAAATTGAAACATGCAAAAAAAGTTTTATACAAAAAGATATTTTCAGAATGCCTAAAAAGTCTTTAGAGTTGAGATATCCAAAAAAGATATTAATTTTCTGTTTTATTTTATTTCTTATTTTAATCCTCATTTTTTTGAAGTTGTCAAAAAAAAGTTTTTTCTTTTTATTTCAGAAAACAAAAATAAAAACTTTCTTCCCAGAGCACTATTCTAACTTCACGGGAATTTATATTTATTTGTATTTTTTCATGGCCTATATGATAAAATAAAATATTCTTGTCACCACTTGTTTTGTTGAACTTTCGATGTAGTTTTTAAATATGTATGTTTTATTTTTTATTTCTATACCAATATTTAAATAAAATAGATTGAAAAAGCTTGGGATTTTTCTTCGTTTTGCGCAACGGGAAGAAAGATATAGGACGGGGGGGTATTAATTTGAGACGTACAGATGCAGTATACTCGTATGCTATTTTTTTAGAAATCATCCTAAATAGGACTAAAACATAGAGAAAAGTATCAAAATATGACTTTCATGTTTTTTTTCTCCGGAGTAGGACTTTGCACTGAGGTAATGTGACTTTGCATTGTGGTAATGTGGCAGTGTACATGTGCAAATTACTATACTATTTTGGTAATGTATATGATCATGTTTGGCAATGTAAGTCTTATTTCAGGAATAAAAACATGAAAGTCCTATTTTGGTATATTTTCAATGTTTTAGTCTTACTTTGGTCTTTCTCCCCTGTTTTTTTCAAACAAAAACATTTTTTAAAGTTTAAGAACTTTATTAAAAAAATTAAAAAGAAATTTACAAAAACTTGATTAATAAAAGAAACAATAAAGGGAAAAAAAGGAGAAAAACAAAAAATAATCAAAAATAAGAAATGAGTATTAGACTATCAGTGCCCCCTATGGTTGAAAAATAGGCACCAATGCGGCAATGCCCACTTCTTCACCAGAAAAATGGTCGAAAAATGATCAGATGGTATATGAGTGCAATGTTTTAAAACCACGGGGACCTTAAGAATAAGTTTTAAAAACAGAGGAGTATTGGTGCCTATTTTTCAAACCACGGGGGTCCTGATGTTGTTTGACCTAAGTAAATTTGGTGTAGAATTTAAAAATAAAAATTACAGAGTATATCATATTAAAAAATACATCAGAAGTTTCACAAAACAAGTAATGACAATGTTATTTAATTTTATAAAATGATCAATGAAAACGTATAAAGAACATAAATTTAGTTTGACCTGTAAATAGTAATTAAGAATCTTTTTTTGGGACAGAAAGAGTATTAATTAGAGGAAGCGTTAGCAAGCACAAAGTTTTATTTTAAGAAATCCAAATTAACATTAAAAACATTGGATATAACTTTTACAGAGTAAAATGCTAAAACCAAATGTTAAAATTAATGTGAAGAAAAATAGATTTATTGAGAAGGCTGAAAAAATTAAAAAAAAAAAGGCCACCAAACAAGACATAAAGGCAACAGCGGCGGCAGGAGAAGAATAAAATGTTGAGTGGTGTTTGGTGGGCGTCACGGCGTCCGGCGCCTCAAAATAGTTAAAGTTGGGGCGGTGAACTTCACGTTCCTCTCTCTCTATTTGTCTCCGCCCAAAACTTATTGTTTCACTTTTTGGGCATGATTATCATTTACTCTCTCTGTCCACGATAGATCTTCCCAGGCACTATTCACAGAATCAAACTTTACTTACTTTGTTTGCTCATTTTTACTAGTCATTTCGTAAAATAATATAGTCTTGTCACATCTAGTTTTATAGAACTTTTCATGTAGTTTATTACTATATAAATTTTATTTTAAAATTTTACTCCTATAATCAATTAAATTGAATTGAAAATAAAGTCGGTCAAGCCTCGTAACGCGTAACGGGAAGAACTTAGGTGGACGGAAGGAGTATCAATTACTCACATATCACTCGCTCGTACTCCTTCCGTTCCAAAACAAATACTCCCTCCGTCCCCATGTATTTGTTCACATTTGACTTTTGGAACTGTTCATCTAAACACTTTGACTCATCAAATTCTCTCAATATGTAAGTCTAAATATAATCATGTGTGATCTTGTTTGATTTGTCTTAACATATAGATTATTAATATATAATTTTTATAATTTTTTAATATACAAATTACAAATAAAATGAATTAAAGAAATGTATTGGATGGTGTGTAAAAATGAAAGTGGACAAATACAGGGGGACGGAGAGGGTATTACGTAATTGGTTTGTTTACTTTGTTACACTCTATTCAAAACTTACAAAGTTAAAGTTTTTATTTGATAATGTGATTTTATTTATTATTTGATAAAATAATATATTATTATCGCTTTTTATTTTGTAAAATATTTGATGTAGTTTTTTATGTGTAAGTTTTATTTTCTTTATTTTTGTACGAATCTTTAAATAAAAAAGAATTTTAAAAAAGCTTAAAATTTCACTTTTTTTTGCATAATGTAGCTTTTTTTGAACCGAGGGAGTACTATTTCTGCCCCTTCTAGAATATTCGTCCAATTTTACTTTTTCAATCCAAAATGAACAAATACTTTGAAATGAAGGAAATAATAACTCTTAACTTTGGCTTTACATAGATTAAGGGTGATTAAGAATGTTAGGGTATAAAATCTTCTATAATCACATGTTAGAAGTTTTAATTGAATTGTGTTTTTTGACATGGTATTGAAACTTTCCTGACATATAAATCATGAACTCAAACCTAACAGCAACCCAGTTTAAAAAGAAAAAATGTTAACATGAAAGGCAATATACTCGGGGTATATAATATATCACATGCAGGAGTCTTAGCTTTAACTACTACGGAGTAGTAACTTAAGTTTTTGGTTAAATTAGTTCTTTCACAATGAAGAATGTTAAAAAGTGACAAATGTGTTCCTAGAGTTCATCATATATAAGACATAAGGCGTATAAATAGTTTGGAACACGTAAAAAAATCAAAAATAGAAAGAAAAAAAAGAAGAAAGTGTTATGAAATTAATGATTGTTCATTTATTCAATTAATCAGGCCTACTTTCTAGAATAGTAGATTAAGACACTAATTGATGAACACTAATTATGTACAGTACTTCCCACTTGTATTTGTATTCATACCAAGCCTCTCCACTATAAATAGAGGCATAATTCCTGCATTGTAATCACCATTAAGAATAAGAGAAGAGTGAAGAGTTAATAGAGAGAAGAAATCAGAAATATATTATATCTATTATCTTAATCTCTGAGTAGTTTTTCTCTCATTTTATAACACGTTATCAGCACGAATTTGCTCAAAATCCCAGAATCCTTGTTCTTCTCAGAAGTTATTCCATGGCCAACATCACCAAAAGAGAATTCGACATTCTTGATTTATCCGGTCAAAGGTACCTGGAATGGAGGGTTGATGCACTTGCTCACCTTAAAGCTAATGACCTCGAAAATACAATTGCTGAGAATAATACATCTTCATCTCAGCAAAAGGCAAAAGCCATAATTTTCCTTCGCCACCACCTTCATGAAAGTTTAAAACCTGAATATGTATTGGTGGAAGATCCGAAGGAATTATGGGATAATCTCAAAGAGAGATATGGTCATCAACAAAAGGTCTTACTGCCAAGAGCTCAGTATGAATGGATCAATTTAAGATTCCAGGATTTTAAATCCGTTTGTGACTATAATTCTTGCTATTTTTAAAGTCACATCCACATTAAAATTATGTGGACATAATATCACCAATCATGACATATTGGAGAAAACTTTTTCTACCATGCATATGTCAAATGTGATATTACAGCAACAATACAGAGAAAGGGGCTTTAAAAAGTATTCTGAGTTAATCTCAATATTACTTATTGCTGAGCAGAATAATGAGCTCTTAATGAAAAATCATAACATGAGGCCCACCGGTTGTACCCCTACAAATTTTGGTCATCCTGATCGTGGTTCAGCACCGGAATCAAATGTTGTCCAAGGTGGTGCACGTGGACATTTTAAACATGGCCGCGGAAATAACCGCAACAAAGGGCCGAACAGGGGCTATAAAAATCCAAATGGATCATCCTCCAAAGGAAAAGGAAAATTCAAACCACCACAGGCTAAAACTTATGAAAAGCCAAAACCAAGTGGTGAATGCTACAAATGTGGCATAAAAGGACACTGGGCGAATGAATGTCGAACGGCAAAACATTTGGTTAAATTATACCAAGCTTCCACAAAAGGAAAAGGGAAAAATGTGGAAGCTAATTATGCTGATGATATCAATCCAATTTTGCCTAAATTTGACGTGTCCGATTTCTACATGGATGATGCTGAAATTGGTGATGAAGTGGCCTTTGGTGGAACTACTACTGTTTAAATATTTTAATTTACGCTGTTATGGTGTGTTTACTTTTAAAATAAATGTT